AGAGTCAATCCATCTTTGAACTTCTGAAAGATGTTTTGACAGAATTGCCAATAGCAGAAACTGATAGCTTGTGGCTTTTGGTAGGATATTTCCTTACCTTTCTATCTTGAACTGCTAATTAGCATTTCTTTCACTATTTGGTGTATTATTTCTGAAATTGCCCTCCTCACCCCTGCTTCCATCCTCTCTCACTTTAAGTCTTCCTTTGTCATGTATTACAGGCTCTCAAAATTGTTCTCAAACCAAAGAAAGTATTTTGAGAAGCTGGTTGAGATTTCTCTTATTTCCGTGGCTAAAGATGGAGGCAGTGAAAATGGATTTTCTCTTCCTTCAGCTGTAGTTAATTTTGTTCTTCAGAAGGGTGGACTTCAACATGCTAGGGAGACATAGAAACGGTATGTTATTCCATTATGCATGATCACCGCTTATGATGTTAATGTCTTCAACGTTGCATTTTGGCTTGTGAAACAGCTTATTTCAGATTCTTGAACATTATATTTATTATATTAATATTTAAATTCAACTATAATGGTTACTGCCAGCCAGTGTATTTAGATATAGTCGCAAGAATTATCTAACTATGTGTGTTGTTACAAACGCAGATTTCTTTTTCTGCCCCACCCCGGACTTACTCTGTATAGAGACTGCATTGAATTAGAGTCTAACCATGCATCTCTTGGTGATAAAAATTCTCTTGCTAATGCCGGAAGGTTATATTGAAGCTGCACGTTCCACATATGACCAAAACGCAAGCTTGTGGAAAGATTACCATTCCATGGAAATGAAGGTGATCATTTATCCGCTCTGTATTTTTTATAAGAACATTTCTAGTCTTCTAGGGATGTAAGCAGAATACATGGCCTTAATTTCCTACATTTCTGGAGACCTGCTCAACATTCATAACCCAAATTGGCTTATGATTATGCCTGCATTTCACCAGGGATAGACAGTGTATAACAAGTAATGGCTATACTATTTCTCTGTTCCACAGGAGATTAACTTAATCCATCTTTCTGATCCTTTTGCAGCTTGCGACATCAGAAACTGCCGCTGCTGTTTACTGGCGGGCGTGGAAGGTGCTGAAAGACTCTGCTGTTGGTTTTGCTTCAACAAATCAATAATTCCTGTGTAATACACTAATACACATGCAATTTTGACATTGTAACACTGCCAATGACTATTTGTTTATTTATTTATTTTACGTTGAAAGGAAATTTGCAGTGTCTTCAATTTTTTCAATGATCATTTATATGATTCATTACTTAAAAAAAAATAAAAAAGAGGAACACCAACACCAAACAGAAAAAATTGTGACATTCATATAGCTAAATTAAGGCATAATTTGTATTCTGCGGTAGACACAAATAGTACATAAAAGATTTTTGGTGCTTTATGACCCCCAAACAGAGAAGTTGGTAAATTATGCTTCATTAATTTACAACATTTTGATTGGACTAAATGGCGGTATTGAATCCAGCATAACTGGGATTTTTCTAAATACAGAAGCAATCGGCTTAGACTCCTGGCCAATGTGGACTAACTACCTGCACAGCAAATTCTAATCAGTTAACACAAAATACTAACACATTTGGTTAATCAAAGTAAAGATGATATTTGCTGCAACCTCAAGTGTGCTAAAAACTAATCGCATTCGGCTAGCAACAACCGATGGCTCCTCAGCCTGTCCCACCACTGCCATTTGCTCGAGCTGGAGAGTCTTTACGGGAAGCCTTAGGCAAAAACAGGATTTATCAGTGTTATGATTTGCTGTTCAAATGTCTTATATTTCCTAAATTAAAAGCAAGGTCTAGAATAATAAAGATTATGATCAAATAAAGTAATAGCAATGGTAAAATCTCTAGAAAAGGAAAGTGAAGCAGAAAACTATATCATAGCAAAAGACAGAAGGAGATTCTCCAAAAATATACTGAAGCATCTCACCATGCCATTCCCCTTATGTAATAAGCGTTTGCTATGATAGCACAGAAGCCTTTCCATTGAACCAGTACTTCATCTGACACTGGAGGTGTAGATGACCATCTGACAACAGTTGGTTGTGGTGTACACAAAATGGTAATGAATACAATGCTCAACCACAAAATACATTCATCGGCCTAAATCATGAAAGAGAAAAATACTTCATTTTACTAAGACCATTACCATGCGTAACACATCTTCAAAATACACTTACAAATAATTCATTATTATTGATTCTTTATTCAATGAACCAAAGCAGAAGGATTTAATTACTTTGGATGAAAATATGACAATCTCTGAATGAAGCTATATTTGAGAATGTATCTCCAAGTATATGAAGGAAAATGGGGAATGGGAGGGAGTTATATGGGACTAGTTACCTCCTCTGCAACAATCTTGGACTTTAAACTAGTCCCTCCCGCATAACTTTGCATTGCTTCAATTTCAATGGCGGATTCCTTCATAGCATTAAGTTCTTTCCTCAGCCCTTCATCAGTGCAACCCAATGCATATGCATTCACTCCAGCACTAATGAATTCCTGGCACACATCAAGAAAATATTTTATGAAGGCAGCAACATAGCCAGCAACCTTTTATGATACCAAACCAAGAAAACTACTGAATATACTTTTAGGTTGTCACCTCCTCCACGGTCAATTACATTCCTATACCGCCTAAACAGACTGATGGCTATATTACGCGATGAACGGTACTCATCATCTGGCGAAACAGAACCATGTGATTGACACTGCATTCAAAACTATACAAAATCAACTTAAAACAAGAGGGCTGAATGCTAACCAAATAAATTGAAACACAGCTCACCAGCAATCTCTTAGATGCCACTCGCTGTGATACAAGATATGTTCCAACTCTATTCTGTTCTTTCCATGGAGTATATGAACTATGCACATCATGATTACATTTAACCCCTGATTGGCTATGAAAAACAGCAGCACAGCTCAAGGAATTAACATTGACATGTCTGATCTTGCCCGGCAAAGCATTGTGCAGAGTATTATTGCAAAGAGATGACTGGCACAAGCTGATAGCTCCTGGCAGATACACCATTACCATAGTTGAACTTGAAACATACCATAGCCTTCAAAATTCGAAAAAAACAAAAAACCCATTATTTTACAGATAGAACTCAATCCTAGAACAACTCCAAAAATGAAATTACGAATTTCCCTTCTTTAAGCAAATTGAAGATTGCCCAATTATAATCTTCTTGAGTGTGACAACTCAATCATGATTATTGGGATTAAAGGTGGAAATTTTCAAATCAAAATAGAGACTTTGGTGAATTACCTTATTGGGGTTTGGATGAAATCATCCGCGGAAGGAAGCGGTTTTCCGAGGAGCTGTGAAGAAGCGGAACGAGAAGGAGACGTCTGCTGATGGTAGGATTTTGAAGAAGAATCTTCTTATGAATGTTGCTGAAGCCACGAAATTTTGTGATGGGTTCCCACAGATTCGATTGGCCGAATGGAAATGAAAGATGGATGAATCCAAGAAAGAAAAATTCATTTCGTTTTCTCGGGAAAATTTATGGCTGGAGGCCGCCAAGAGAATCACGACGTGGGGACTCCAATGTTAATCATTCGCGGCAGCCAAATTCCGGCTCCCCAACGATCATTAAAACGGTGTCGTATAGATAGTATACAAACTGATGTGCAGCCTTTTTGTTCTATCTCTTTGTATAACCTTTTTTTTTTTTTTTTTTTTGTATAATTTTATGTATCATTAAAATGATTGATTTTTTTAATTCACGTGAAATTTATAATATTTAATGTATCAACTTATTTAATAACATATGAGAGTTACATATAAAACTAAAACAAAAAAATTATCCATATAACATCATCCATACCTATTTAATTTAACATTTAAACTTGAAATTTTTAATAAAAAAAAAACACGGGTTCTTAACTGTTAAAACATTTGATTAGATTATATCAAACGAATTTATGGATACATATTCTTTGGGATTACAACTAGGATTAGAAAGAAACAGAAGGTGCAACAAATAAGAACACTGCATTCCATTTTCAGTTAATTTAAAGCTTCTTGCAGAGAGAAAAAGGATTTCAGGTGAGATGCCAAGTTTATTAATAAAAAGGGAACTCAGAACAGGAACAAATTAGAAAAATCCTGCAGTTATGGTATGTCAGAAAGGAACTAGGATGGCTTGTAATATTTTGTGGGTACAAAAGGCATTTTTGTGACAACCCCATCATAGGCCTTTCCTCTGATCACAATCTTTGCTTTGGTGCCGGCCTTGTGTAGTCCAGATTTCACATACCCCATTGCTATGTTCTTCTTTAGGCAGGGACTGAATCCTCCACTGGTTATTTCCCCAATATTGTTTCCTTTTTCATCCTGAATCTCGCTGTGGGATCTTGGAGGTGGACCAGTAGAGAAGAAGCCAACACGCCTGATTGATGGACCGTCTGCTAGTTGTTTGAGAATCACCTTAGCGCCTAAGAATCCGCCTTCTGCTCTCCTCCTCTTCCCAATGGCCCATGTCAGTCCAGCTTCAATGGGTGTTATATGCTGTTCCATGTCATTACCGTACAAGCAGAGTCCAGCTTCAAGTCTCAGACTGTCTCGAGCCCCAAGTCCTGTTAACCTGACCTTCCCTTTAGATTTTTCTAAGATTGCCTTGGCAAGATCCACTGCATTCTCTGAAGGAACTGATATTTCAAAACCATCCTCACCTGTGTACCTGGAATACATAAAGAGACAAAATTTAACATTATCCTTCACAGTTCCCACACAGGGCACACCACAAGCAATATGACCGTCCATAAAGAGGCTAGCTTTAGAATTCACAACATCTACCACATGACAGATTTGATAAAGACAAAGATTATTATCAGATACTTCTCTCATTCACCCACTTATTTTTCAGGTTAAACTGCCATTTTGGGACTATTGTAAGCAAGTCATAGGGAAGTATACCCTGTCCTAGTGAGGAAGCAATGCGCGCCATTGATATCCAATATCCGGAACTCTCCAAAGTAGATCTTGCTCAAATCCTCTTTTGTTAGATGTTGAAGAACTGGGGCAGCAAGAGGACCCTACATATAACAGATGAGAGGAACAATATTACTCTCATGCATGTCTATGGGGGAACTCACAATGAAATTAAATTCATTAAATTCTTGAGCAAGTTGCAATGAACTCTTCCAGAACTGGATACAGTTTTATCTGAAGAAGCCTGGTTCATTCCTACACCATAGCAGTTCAAATAGAAAAATGTAGAGCAGAATGTAACATCAAACAATTCAATTGTAGTGCATCTTTTTTCTATTAAGTTTATCTATCACCATTATTATCAAGATCATTGGAAGGACAAAATACAAACGGGAAAAATGGTTCCCAAACCAAACAAAAAAGGAAAAAGCATAATAAAAATCAAAACATATGGGTAAGTGATGGTGATGCCACTGTCCACTGATAACCAAAATTAGGACACAGAATCAGAAAAGTAAGATGATTAACCTGGAGAGCCAGGAGAGATCTCTCGTCATGGATTTGCCATGAGACATCCCCACCTTTGGCCTTGAATGCCTTCATATGCTCTTCAATGTGGGCCAGATCTTTATCCCTGCATCCTGCATTGACAACCAGGTATATGTGATCATCCTTCACCTTGGTAATCACTGAATCATCAATTGCTCCTCCCTTCTCATTTGTAAAGATAGTTAGGGTTCCGGTTCCAGGGGCAAGCCCAGCAACATCAGCAATGACAAGCTTCTCAAGGAATGGCACAGAGTCCTTCCCCTTGAGGCTCAATCCACACATATGGGAGACATCAAAGAGGCCTCCATTCTCCCTACAATTTACAGTAGAGTCCATGATAGAGTCCTTATACTGAATAGGCATGTTCCATCCAGCAAATGGAACCATCTTCCCACCATTAGCAATATGGAAATCATAAAGAACAGTCTTCTTCAGATCAGCCTCTGAGGCAAAGAACCGGTGTGCTACAGACTTCTTATCAGCCTGAGAGAGACGGCGTGTGATTGATTGGCCAAGCTGCCAGAGACCTCCTCTCATCGTCTAAAGTCAAAATATCTGAAATATAAAATCAAAAGATTTTTCAAAAATAAGAAATGGTATCAATACATCTTTATTACCCTGATAGTAAGTGTCTGATACAATTTGTTTTAAAGAGTAATTGAAGAATGAAGATAGATAATCCCATCAAAATTGTGCCAGTTATTAGTGAGCAAAAGCAAATGCAATAGGAATTTGGAGAAAACTAACAACTAGCAATATCAGTACTAAGGGAAATGAGAAGTTCTTTTTTGAGCAAGAGGGCATCATTCTCATGAAACTGAAATACAAAACGCATTAGGAATTTGGAGAAAATTAACAACTAGCAATATCACTACTATGGAAAATGAGAAGTTCTTTTTTGAACAAGAGGGCATCATTGTACTGAAATACAAAATTGCAAGTCACATGGTCTTTATGCTCAAATGGTCAAATTGGCAATGAAAGAGATAGCACACAAACACAGATTAGTAAAATGGAAGACAATGACATCCGTGAAAACTCAAAACCTTGAATCCATCATTTCATATGGAGTAAGAGCAGAAATTGAATGCCATAAGCTCAGAGCGAAGACAGACTCCAGTTCACAATTACCCATAATTCCAACAAACTCAAATTCAATGGTACAATCCAACATGACATCACCTATTAAAACATCAACTGCATTCCTTTGAGAAGCATAACTCAATATGAACACTGCCAGAAGGGGAATACATCCAATAGACGCAAATCGCACCAATGAAAAATCAAAAAACATAATATTTTGCAGGAAAAAACACTAAAGACTAACAAGCTGTCTAGATCTCATTCACATTCTCCAAACACTAGAAGAGGAAGCATCCCATCACAGAATCCACAAAAACAATGACAAAAACTATTGAATACGTAAGTTACAATACAAAGAATACAAAACTAGAGAGTGAAATGGCTTACACAAAACCCCCAACTCTTCCTTCTGTTCTTCAAAAGAAAGCAAATCAGAGACCCCAAAAGAACATATCTTTGCTGTTGGGGATGAAAAAAGCATAGAACTTTATATGTGGGTAGATATAAAATCCAAAAGGGGCAAAAAATATAAAAAAAAATTTAAGAGATGGTTGGTAGATTGTAGTGGGTGGAGGAGGGTTTTCTCTGCCAAATTGACAAACAGCCAACAAAGCCACACCGTCAGTGGGTGGTGCTCGGACCATACCCCTTTCGGCCTCCGTCTCCTTCCGTTCAAGTGTTGCTCACACCCACTATGTCTCCTATGGAACTCGCTTCATCCAACGGTTGTCATCTGCCATATGAGGACGTCTAAAATCTGCCCTCAGATCTAGTCCGAGGTTACAGATGTGTTCAAGTGGGGCCCAAAACATGGATGTCTACTCAAATGATGGTGGAATTGAGTGCATTGGATTAATAACAGTTGGTCGCAGACAGAGACCGCCGGGGAACCGAATTGTTGAGAGGTCACTGTGGGAGAAAGATATAATAATGGGAAGAAAATGGGGTTGGTGAGATTTGGAGCCTTACCAGTGGCTCATCAAATTTGGCTGCTACATTATGCTCCTAGAACAGAGGTGAACCTTTATATTTTTTTTTTTACATTTTGACAGGACGGATTCGAAACCCGTCCATAGAAGGGGAATGCACCTAGTAAGCTAGAGGCCCAGGTGCGAGGTGAACCTTTATATTAGTTGGTGTATCTGGGAGCATCCAATTTCATGATGGCCATCTACCTTCAGGAAAAAGATTAGATTTGATATATTTTTACACATCAATTTAACATAAGTAATGCAAGGAGGTTTGTGTATCACTCGGTTGATTAAGATTTGGTTTTTTTAAAAAGATTAATGAAGTGCAATGAAATGGATATTCTTCACTAATTTCTTATGTTGTGAATGTTATGCCATTTCGCCATTGATACCAATGGGTATCTTAAATAATTAGGATAAATTCTCAATGTGGATTTAGGTGCAGGGTGGAGCAAAAGCAGATATAGATAGTAATTTTTGAAGTATATAAATATCAAGAAAAGTAAAAATTAGGATTTATGACATTTTAAATATCA